GGTTCCAACAAGAACTACTCGCTTTATGAGAACTATAAAAACCATTTTGTGACCCCTAATCACTTTTAATCCAATTACGATTAGTGCTTGTGTTTTAATTTGTATAGGAGGGACAATTATGTTTTCTCGGTTTCTGCAGATAAGTATAATTTTGTATGTTAAAGTATGTAATGTATGTTAAGTTATGTTCAGTTTTTCAATGTTTGTTGAAGTATGTTAAGGTCTATGTCTTCCTATATCCATGCCATCGAAGTTTCAATTGGTTACATCTCTGCCATTGCATTTTTAGTCCAACTTTTCAATCAAACATAAAAAGAACCATTAGATGATCAGAAGGCTACGAGATGGTCTATGTGGTTCTTATAAAAGATAAAATTCTTACATGATACCTAAGTGTGTGTGTGTGTATATTATTAGTAATAGTGTAAGTAATTAGTTTTACATGATAAAGATGTATGATTAAAATAAGTTTTCTTTGGCTTTTAAAATTGTATAACTTATTTAAACATTGTATTTTAGAGCATCTCCAACAGCTTCCCTAAAATAGAGAGAGTCGACTTTTTTTGTTTTTTATAATGTCCAACAACTTCTCTACCTTATAATCAATCAATATATCAATATAAAGAAGGAGCTATCAAATCAACGAGAAGCCTCCATTGAGCTACCAAATGGGCCTGAGATCCGCAGAGGACCGGCACCAGGCCTGACTTTGGACTACCGGTTAAGGAGCTTTTCGTCAAAAAACAAGGCTTAACCTAGCCCAGCCCGGGATCGGTTTGGGTCCGGTTATGGGCCAGACCTGATTTTTTAAAAAGAAAATGCATTTTTATATGAATTTTTAAATATATTTTTAACTTTCCAAGTGTATTTGATAGAAAATCAATCACAAATTTATAATAAAACATATTTTTAAGTGTATTTTATTGACCCAATTAAATGTTTTAAAGTGTACTAGGATAATATTAAATTAGCGTTAAAAATTTATCAAAAAATATAAAAAATTGTTTTTCTATTATAGGACCGGTTTGGGCCAAGCCTGGGATCGATTACCCTAACCGGTTACAAATACCATTAACTAGTGATGGCCAAAAACCGGTCCCGGGCCTCAACAATAACGGTCATAACCAGTCCTGTTCCTGGTCAAAAATCTCAAGCCTCGTTAACCTTACTCATAACAGGTCCCTACCTAAAAGAAATATTAAAAAAACATTAATGATAGATTTTTTAAATACATTATAAAAATTTGTAACTTAGTCATTCAAATACACTCTAAAAATGTGTTTTATTATAGTTAAAATTACATCCAAATATTCAATTATTTGAAAATACACTTATTTATCATCGGTCAACAATGTCGGATTGATTTTAAGAGTTCCGGTCTCTTGAATTCTTCTAATAGCCTCTTGGTCATCAAGGTCAGCAATGTCGAGTTCCTCATCATCGTCATATTGTGAGTAAGTGCGGTTGGTATCGGTAGTTGACAACGTGCTTAATCCCATTGCGATTTCATTTTTTTCCAAATTTTCTTTCGTCGCTTCAATCTCCACATTTAACGATGTCGTGTGTTGAATTCTATCAACGTTATCCAAGTAATCCTTCAAGCAGATGCAACATTCCACGTACTCCGGGCTTAGTCTTGCTCGACGTATCGAAAGTGATCCTGCCACTAAAAGAAAAAGCAGATTCCGAAGCTATGGTACTAGCTTGAATTGTTAGTATATCACGTGTCATGCATGACAAAACCGGGAATTGAGGTTGCTTTTGTTTTAAAAAATCCTATAGATCAATTTTTTCAAAATTTTCAACATCATTTGCGGGGGCATGCGACCACAAAGTTAGTGTGCACATACATATTTAGTTCATCCATATCGTTATCAAATCTACTTTTTAATTGATTCATTTAAAACCTCATTTATTAAATTATTCATCAACTCTTTCCGACTTTGACGATAACCACTAGAAGAATTAGAACCCTCAAATCCACGACTTGAAGAGCTTTGTTGTTGGTTTCCTCCCCCATAAAAATGTTTATAATGATCAAATAAATTTGAAAATTATGATTAAACAAACGTCTTTGTTCGGTTGAAAAAGAATTATCCGTAACCGTATCTAAACCAAAGGCCACACATATTTGTGTAATTAAAATTTCAACACCGATAACATTTAAATACGAATTTAACAGCACAACGCAAACAAAAGCAAATGAGATGCTCATAAAATATTTTAACAATTTCTTTTTCATTGAACTCATCAACCTTCCCCAATCATGGTTGAACTCATCAACCTTCCCCAATCATGATGGTGTTTGTATTGTGCAATCTTACTTGCCAAAATATATAATTGATTTAAAAGTAAATGGCTTGTTGGATAATAAATATCGGATAAAAGTGTTGTCGTATTTTTAAAATCCCCAAAAATCGTACAATCTTTCAACCACGGCCCAATCAAAATTCCCAATAGAATTTTGCAGGTAATTGTGTTTATAAAATGAAAAAAATATATAATTTTTTTTGTTTTATCAAAATTTCAATAATAAAATAATTTGAATTCCTACTAACGGGCATATCGAATCTCAGTCCCAAAGCTTTAAAACCAACGTCTTCGCAATATTTTATATATTATGCATTCATTTTTTACCCTTTGTGAAAATTCGCCGCGAACATAAGTCTAAACTTATGTATTATGGGTTTACAAGTATTTAAATCGTCTTGGACGACTAAATTTATAATGTGTGCACAACAACGTGTATTAAATAATTTACCGTTTAAAAGAGGTGTTAAATGACACTTTAATTTTTTCACATATAGATTGTTATTACTAGCGTTATCAAATGAAATGCTAATTATTTTAGCAGATAAATCATAAAATGCAAGACATATTTTAATAATTGAAAATTGACGTGCACCTGAATGTGGCGCACCAAACGGTTCAAATGCGATTACACGTTTGAATAAATGTAACGATTGCGGCTCAATCCAATGTGCCGTTATGCATATATAAGAAACCAGAAATCCGTGTGTTGCGTCCATATATCACACGTTAAAGAAATGTTGTTAGGCAAAAGAGAAAACATTTATTGCATTTCACCTCAACACATTTTCCACATTTTAATTGCATCACCTCTAAGGGTTTGACGACTTACCGGTTTGTATTGTGGTTGTAGTGGTTTTTGAATCAACTTCATAATGTGAGGTTGTCGAAATAACCCGACTTGAATGACACATTATGTTGTCATTTGTCGGTTCAACTCGGCATCAAACGACCATATTTGACCTTGAGTGTCAAGTATCGGTTGGCTTGAAACTCCTTCCGACCTCAACCTTGGCACGTTTTTTCGGTGTGCCACCTTAAAGTAGAATTTCCTTCCGCAGTAAGGAGAGCTTGACACATTTTGCATTGTGCATTTCTTTTCCCGTTCGTGAAGATCACCAAGTTGTATAAATTCCTAATCTCGGACTTTCGTCCGTGTTCGGCAAGAACTTGGGCAACTTGTTCGTTTGATGCATCATGTTGTTCACCGCCACTTTGTAAGACAAAGATAGAAATAAATGAGACTTGTGAAATGGAAGCGATAAATGAATACGAGCCGAAGTCAAAAAATATAGCGAGAAACCAAGAATCGTTAACGTTTTTTTTGCGTTTTGTAAGTTGGTATGTAAATTCATACTCCATGACACTTATATATAGGATTTAGAATGCAAAAAAGACCAAAAAACGGACATAAACTTGAAAAAATGTCATATTAACGGCTATATTTTCAAAAACCGGGCCGGGCCAATCCCATAACCGGTCCCGGTCGGCGATCCTACAACCGGTTCTTACCGGTCCCGGGACCGGCAAAGGAGGGGCGGCCTGGCATCACTACCATTAACCGAGCCTTACTATTTTCAACGGGACCGGTTACACAGGGACCAATCCGGATTGTTATTGTTTCAGCACGAGACTGGTTTTTGGCCATGTCTACTTTCAACCAATATGAAGTAATTTGTTTACTTATTCAACTAATATTATATTAACATTCATCCTTGACAAAACCTTATCCATATACACGTCAAGTCTCAATAATACATATTAATAATATTGCACATAAACTTACAACTTGCTACATTCCTAAAAAAGTAACATATTTATCAATTTGACGATTATTTTCAATACATTCCCAACTTGAAAAGGACTTATCAGGCTGCTTTCATATGACGTAATAAAGATGCAAACCACATGTACAAGTTTGAAATGGCACTCGCATCAAAAGAATTTGAGACCGTTTACCAAATAACAAGTTACGTTTAATCTCTACTTAGATGTCGTTTATCAAACACTTATCCGGTTAGCGTTTACCGGTAAATTTAACAATATCATTTACTTACCGGATAAGATTTTAGTCCACCAAAATGGTATCGTATGCAACAATTTACCCGGTAAGCGCTTACCGTGGTAAGAGTCGTCGCCCTCACTTACCGGGTAAGACTCTTGGTCCTTGTTTCGCTCTTACAGTCTTACTGGGTAAGATTTTTGATCTTTACCATATTCATCCGGTAAAGTAAAATGACTTGGTGTTCACTTACTCGAGTAATCGTTTGGTAAACGACCCCTCAGTTACATATTTTATAACAAAATATTTGTTAACACGATGATGCCAGACACTAGTTCTCTAAAACAGAGAAATGGAATCATAAAAGAACTCCAATATAGAAAATAACCGTACAATTGATAAAAAGCAACCTTCGTAAATAAACATTTACATTACATAATAAGCATTAATATACGTTAGAAATTATTATTACCATATTTGGTATTTAGTTTGGCTCAAATGATCGATTTGTCACTATAAACCCTAAACTCGACCAAATAAACTCTGTTTCAAACCGGCCAACCGTTTGACGTAGCATCTCGTCTCCATCAAGGATCCATGGCATGGAACTACATCGTCTTTATTAACTAAATTCGACCCGTGAATGTGAAGATTTTGACCACCGTTAGTTACCGTTACTAGCGGCAATCTAGCCGGAGGTTCTCCATTGCATCTCCACCTGAATCCGGCCATTCTTTGAGTCGATAAGGTGGTATTTCTCGTTGATCCGTTTGTTGTTCACGACATCGGCTAGGCTTATATCGACATAACCCAAAGATTCCTAACAAAAAGACATGTTAATTAGAAAACCTAATATCGCATAGCGAAAGTTAAGATTCATCGTACCTTTGGATGTATTAGTCCCATCCTTTTTGTCGTACTAACGACTTCCAAATGCAATTTCTCGTTCGTTGGCGGCTCTTCTAACGTAAATGTAAACTCCTCTTCCCATCTCGGATCTCGGTTCTTCTTCATAGGCTGCGAATCAAAGAACCAAAATAACGTTAGGAAACGGATATCTATGACCACTATCAAATTTATCATCAAAATCAGTAGAATTCGAAAAACGAACCCTGGTTCTTCTTTCTTCGCCTTTGAAAAGCAAACGAACGGATGGATTAGTGTGATGTTTTCCTTCAAGATCTTCACCTTCATGGATTATAACGACAAGCAAGCCTCCGCCATCAGGAGTTCCTACGGGAGCCTTTTGCATTGCACTTACTTCTTCAATAGCGGTAGGCATTTGGTCTTCTCCGAAAGGTTTGTACATGAGTTCGACCACGATCTGGCCTCGTGATTTGTCGTTATGCATGTCGTTTGGGTCCATATTCTTCAAGAGATCAAGAGTTAGAGTCTTTGGCTGTTCAGGAGTAAGATCTTTGAGTGGCACCATATTCATCCCCATTTTATCATGCTTCCCAACCTACATAACAAGAACAATTATCGGGTAAGAGATGATGTTGTTTACGACATCTTTTAGCCAACAAATGTTGTTAACCAAGACGTTGATTCAGTAAGAGTGGAGATGCTTGCTTACCCGATTAGAGAATCTTACCCAATCAGCGCTTACCGAAATTTTTAATAAACGGCCCATGGTTCAAAATAACTATTTGGCCTTTGTACCATCTTTATCTTAATAGATATTTCGTTTCACAATAACCATCGCGATTGATTACGATCTTTTGGAAAAAACAGTATAACAGTTATAAACGTTAGTTACTCATTAGAGTCAAGAAAACACACCGATTCCCAGTCGAAAACCATGATTTCTAGAGCTTGAACTTCAGGATCTTTCACAACTAGATTGAACTCTTCATTCCATTCGGGATTCAAGTTCTTGTGTTTCACAGTCGTTTTCTTGGATGGAAGCTTGTCTTCCGTTAGTTTCAGTTTCGCGTAAGGATCAGAAGCACCCAGAAGATCTTTCTTTTTAAGCTTCATTGCCCTTACAACCTTCACATTCAGCATTCCAACAGGTCGCTTCATTGCTCTGCCAGTTCGGAATGCGAATAATTCTTCGTTATCTATTTCTTTGTACAAAAACAGAAACTGATAGGACCGATACTTACTTTGCAGGATCCAATATTGCCACCTCAAGTGTTTTTGGCCATAAATACATGTTTGCAACCTGATCTTTGATTAGCTCCTGAAAGAAAAAACAAGCGTCAGAAAATGAAACCAACAATGATTATCATCTGTATGCATACAAGTTCTCTTTAGATTACAGAAAAATCTAATCTTTAACCCTTAGATTATTCTAAAAAAATGAAGCTGTAGTGGCTTTCCACAAGAACAGAACAGAAAAGAAACTAACAAGCCGCATACCTGGACAAATCCGTATAATCCAGGGATCGACATGAGATCTGCACCGACTAGTTTTACTCCAAAATCAACATGAGGCTGTAAAAACAGATAGATTTGAACTTTGGTGTACTGAAGTCGACAATCAGGGGCAACCATGGTGCACCAAGGTTCTAACCCTGACCAGATCTGACCTTGTGGTTTAGTAAGGGTTCGTTCTAATGTTGCTTATATTCTTTTAGCATCTAATCCTGAAAGATTGCTCACCTTCTCCATAAGAGAAACTAGAATTTTACAAAAACAAGGGAAGGTTGGAACCAATGGCTTTAGAGTGATCCTCGGAGAAGCAAATACTTGCAAATCAACCACCTGAAACAGCTTATAGATCAGCAAGATTAATCTAGAAAACATGTGATGTCGAAAGAGGAAGACACCTGAATCGTGGGTCTCAGCCCAAACGCCTTTATACCGACAAGAATGTTAGGATTTGCGGCCCATTTGAACGATGGTTCCATAATCAACTCCTTTTCGTCAGTAGTATAAACCTTCATTCCTGAAAGAAACATCATGAACATAAGTTGGCCATAAATTGGCCACTTTAACCAATACCCACAAAGCCTAGCAAGAAAAATTGCCAGAAAATGCCATTAGAAGATCAAGTTTACTGTGGTTCAATATCTAAACAAGTTCAACCTTGAAAGGTGGGCGGTAGACTGCCCAATGTAAGTGAATCGAATTCAACTTCTTCAATTTTGTACTGAGGAGTCTGTTCTTTGATTATAGGTTCGGTTGTTGTCTGGATGGTTTTGCAAATTGCCTACAAAAACGTAGAAAATGTTGCGTTTTTTTCCTGACCAGATGTAAAAAGAACGAAAAAAGCAAGCAAATCAAGGCACCTTATCCAAGTACGGCCACATTAGTTCAATAAACTTGTTAAGCCAATCAACCTGTGCGAGAAACACAATAAAAAGCATAACCAGAAGGTCGGATATAAGCAACCTATTCAACGTGATGATCAAGACGAGAAATTACACGATCATGGTCAGGATTTTTCACCCAGACGGGTATTTCTGGGAACATTCTTTGCAGGGATGCCTCATCTTGCTCAACCAAAGGCTTAATTTCAGGAGTCTTGATGATGCAACAGAAACAGATAACCAGTTTAACTTATGAATCTACCGTTAAACTCATAATTACTACTAATTGTAGATCAAGAAAACCAAAAACAAGTAAACATCATAATTCAGTAGTGTTGAATTGATATAGAAGAAAGAGAGAAGAAATTAGAACTAACCTGGACATCAGATGATTGGGTTTTGATGAAGAGAAAAAAACCAATCACAATTCCAACTACGATTCCAATCCCAAAACCAAAAGCCCCCATAATGGTGCTTATTATACCCATCTTCGATTTTATATCAGATCAAACGATTTTCTCTACAATTCCAACAAATCTGTGAACTCAAGCAATTGAACCAAAAAGACCCAGAGATCGAATGGGAATTATCATTCAGAATTGCATAATTTGATGAAAATTTCTTCACAGATAAAACTAAAGTAATGGAACTCAGTAAGACCAATAAATGAGAATGGCAATTATGATTCAGAAATGCATCATAAAATTTGGGCAACAGAAACCCAAAAGACCTACATTGACAAGGGAAACTACGATTCAATTATGCACAGTTTTATTGAAACTTAAAAGACCCATAAAAGGAAACACAATTACGATTCAAGATTGCACAATCTACACAAAAGAAACCCAAAATTGACGAAGCCAATCACGATTCAAGATTGCATAATCTGAAATTTTTCTTCACAGATCAAGCGTTTTCATTATCACGCAAGAATTCTCAGAAAACCCATGAAAGATCGTCAAAAAAGAAGAGAAAAGAAAGAAACAATAACGAACACAAGCTATAAGAACATGAAACTGTCGATACTAAAAGGTAAAACCAAAGAAACCTAATCGAGATTCATTGTGATCCCTAAAAATTGCAGCATTTAAGTAGAATTCATATGCATTCTGTAATAATACTCGAGGAAAAACGAAATTCCAACAGGGGAAAATGCAGATGATAATTTCTATAAAAGGAAATCTTGTATTCATGTTATGCACGGCCAACATGCATTGGATCCATACCCATCGGATTTGATTTATGTTTAATGTGTTCTTGGGCAACGGTTTTTGTGCTTCCATTTTCTTTGGAGATTGCTCACATGCATCTTTCATATGAAGTTATGTTTGAATGTCACAAAAATGGAAGTTATTAAATTATTTATTACTTAATCCTACTTTATTTAAATAACAAATAATAATTAGAAGAGGAAAATATCAGTTTCTATGCTTCATATAGATTACATTTATTTAAATAATATATTAAGAAATTTTATCTTGATACAAATTAAAACTAATGGACTTTCGAAGTTTATTACAAAATAGTGACGAGATATTTATGACGAGATGACGAAATGTTTATGAATATGTGTTATGAGTCAAAAGTTATGGCCTCTTGAATCTTATTACAAAGTGGTAACGATATGTTTACAATGAGTTATGAAATGACAGACACTCAGAGCCTATTTGTCTTTTCAAAATTGCCTCTTAATACCTTTGAAGTCTGATTCATACAGACGTTTGGATATTAAGAGTGTTTTTTTCTTTTAAATAAAAGCTTAAAACCTCTAAATGTCATCTGAAATTTTAAGTGATAAATGTATCCTTAAGCTCTAAATGTCCTGAAATTTGGGGGTCAGAAGAGATTTGTTAGCAAAAATAATTTATCTTTTATACTTTTGTAATAAGAATTATTTATCTTTTATATTTTTGCATTAATTTGACCGATCCAGATTTCAGACTTCAGGCATAGAAACAAACAGTGTTACTGATCCAGATTTCAGACTTCAGCACCACCTCTAATAAATCAGAAGTGAAATCAGACTTCAAACTTCAGCACCTCTTAAAAAACAAAAGCCACATCAGATTACAAAATTCTACCACCATGTGGATTTCGAAAAAGATCATATTAATCCAAGTTGGATACGTTACCTCATGTTATCTTTGGAGCGAAATATTCAATCTCGCTTATTCACTTTAACAAAGTCAATATACTCTATCTCATCTTGTATATTCATCATCTTTCCTTGTCGTATTTTACCTACTATCTATTTGATAGCAGCTAAATAAGTATAATACGACTCACAACTTATTCCGCCAGTTATACATGATTGTATATAGTGGTTTAATGATATACAAAATGGTTTATTCAGTAACTTTTTATGGGGAACTGTATACAAAGAAGACAAGTTATTTTTGAAACATGTCCCTTCCAATTAAAAAAACACGTTTTATCCACTGATGAAAAAAACTTGCCAAAGAAAAACCTTTCTAGTATGCAGAGACAAATTAATCTACAAAGACAACTTCATCCATATATGACTTAATGAAAAAACCAATCAAACAAACCCTTAACATTGTGACTATGTAAACCAAGGAATATGCCTCCATCATAACACTTCAGAAGGCCAAACGACTTATTGAAATTGAATGCTTAGCACGCATAAAGTATCACACACCAAATGTAATGAAATCGATATTTCATGTCAAATATTCATTTATAGCGTTATTGACATACAACACCAGTAGAGATCTCAATATCCTTTTGTAACCACTTTCATAAAATTGTTTATAGCGTTATTGACATTTTATGAAAAATCCATATGCTAATATAATCATGATAAATACATACTCGATATCCGGTTCATACTTATTTTAGAAAGAAGCCCAAGTAGGCTTCTGTAATCTGGTGGGTTTTAAAGAACTGGACTTGAAGCCCTTTTCCAAAATAATTAGATCAAGCCCAAGCTTGAAAGGCAAAATATAATAGTAATGAAGCTTGGAATTTTCTTAAAGCATCTTGTACCATTTTGATCCGCTCGTTTTATCCAATGTTTATTGGGCAAGTGTTTATTCATAAGAGTTATCATTCTTATTTACCTTATTAGGTAACAATAACATACTCGACGATCAATAAGATTGTTGGTAAATGTCTTTTACCGGGTAATTTCCGTTCATTAACTAGGTAAGAAGAGTCTTTATTCTCACTTAAAGATTTTCGTCCTTGATATGTCTATTACCCGATAAGATTCTAGGTTCTTGTCATGTTCACTCGGTAGGTTTTCGTAAATGGATCGAGCAATACGCCTTGGGTTCTTTTCTTCAAGCGTGGAAACCCATATATGGCCAATAGGTGGGCTTTTTACAGTGTTTTATTGTTAAATATAGTCCTTTATCATTGATTGATCATTTAGGGACCTTAGCAGGTGTTAAGGATTTACCTAGTATGTATGTGTGTGTGTATATATATATGTGTGTGTGTATATATATATATATATATATGTGTGTGTGTGTGTGTGTGTGTATATATATATATATGTGTGTGTGTGTGTGTGTGTGTGTGTGAGGAGAGAGAGAGAGAGTGTGTGTTAATAAAACATTATCTTACAGAATAAATTAGTGGTATTTGGGTAAATCAGGTCCGCAAGTGGGGATGTGTCACTTGCGGAAGTAGTGGTATTTGGGTAAATCAGGGAGAGTAATGGTTAGAAAACCAATTTATATGAGAAAAATGGTTATTTTAGCTATTTCCCTAAAAACAATTCTCTAAGTTTTAGATCTCACTTATCTGAGATAAAACTTTTTCAACCTACAATTATTTATTACTCACTTAAATGCCATCTTTTTTATATTTTATTTTTCATCAACTCGATCTTCGTTTTTAACAATTTTTGTGATGTTATATAACTTTCCATATGAGAAAACAGTCACATAATATACTCATGAACAGATCACATATATTTGTTAATATTCTTTTTCCAAAAATGATGGGCCCCCAAGAAACATTTTTGGATCCGTCTACGTTATGTTTTCGTACAATTCTTTCTATTTTATATTTGTTTTATTGTTTATAATTGGGTTCCTGTGAAAATGATTATTTTGAGAGAACATAAACCTTCATCTACCTGCATTCTTAGAATGACCTTCATTTAACTATCTATATCTCAATGACTGAAGCTTTATCAAGTTAATTATTACATGTGAAAATGATTGAAGACATAAAAATTCGTGAACATGACTAAAGATGAAGATGAATGAGACTATAAAAGTTGATGAATACACGTTCATCGTATTCATTATGAATTACACATAGACACAGGATATACGTGTTGTACTCTCCTTTGTCCTCCAATTTACAACCGAAACTTGGTTTTCGTTTGAACCCGTCCCTATATATAGAACGCCTTCATTTTACGAGAATGCGAAAACATGGTTTTACTATAGAAAATCACATGTGATACTATATTCCATCACAGATATGATACAAATGTGATATTAAATCGTAGACGCATACGACTTTTGATGCGGTCTAGGTTGCGGGTCAAGTCGCTCTTACACCACTAAGCACGCACACGTGTATTATCAAATGTGATAAGGGTGTTTTTGATGTGATATCCTAATCTAGCAGATGTGATACTAAATCATAGACGCAGACGACTTTTGACACGGCGTAAGTCGCAGGACATATCGTCCACACACCATCAGGTCTCTGACGTGTATTATCACATGTGATAAAAGTATTCTCATATTTTCGTAAAATAAAAGTATTCTCGTTTGAATTTACATCTATATATATATATATATATATACACATACATATGTATATATATTATGTATATGTGTATTATATGAATGTGGATGCTTTAAGTGAAACACACATAATAATGCGGATTTCCAAATCAAATGGTCGGTGTCAAATGCAAGTTGGCTATCACTGACTCTGTCTGTTGGTCATTTCACATAAACATCTTTTATTCTGTTTAATATAATAATATTTTAATAATCATTTATATACAACCATTTCTTAAGCTAATATATAAGATTTTAATCCCGTATAAATTGTTTTTTTGACCAAAATGCAAATTTTGTGCAATAATTCACTTTTTAACTATTTCTAATATTGTATTTTTTTATTTTAACCACAATTTATATAAATACGTTATATAAAGCCTATTTTCAAATTAAAAAAAAATCCGTTATGCAAATAAAGATCCTTACATAAATTTGTATAAACATTATTTTTAATCTGAAAATAGGTTTTAACAAATATTTAAGGCATTTGCATAAATTCTGGTTAAAACAAAATTTTAATTGAAAAAATAACTAAAAAGTGAAGTTGATTGGGAAGATTGATTATTTTTTATATATTTTCCTATAAATAATCTTATAATAAAATTATATATATTACCAACTTGTAAGAAAATTACGGGTTCAAACTAAAAAAATTACTATACCTTCCTTGTTCCTCCGGACCTATTCACCTCAGTAACTCCCCGGTTGTTGGAAAT